TAGAGAGACAGACAAAAAACATACAGACAGAGAAAGACAGACAGACAGACAGAGACAGACGACGTATTTGAGCAGAAAAGTAAGGAGACCAACAACGAAAAGAGAAAATTTCAAAAAACAAGAACAAAAAAAAAAACAACAACCAACACCGTCTCGAGATAATAAGACAAAATTCATCACCAGGCGACCATAGGTAATCAATGCTTCCCCGGTGGCTTTTATTACAGCCTCGATAAGACACGGCCTCGGCCGGCGCGCGCCAGGACTTACAAAAACACGCGCCGTACTTTCTGTCTTTGTGTCTTTCTGTCTTTCTGGTGGCCCCGTGGTGTCTGGGCTCTGTTTTCTCCGATCAAATTGAGGGGGCAGGGGGAGGGGGGAGGATTGGAGGGGGGGGAGAGGGGAGGGGAGGGGAGGGGGGAGAGGGAGGGAGGGAGTGTGTGTGTGTGTGTGTGTGTGTGTTTGTGTGTGTGTGTGTGTGTGTGTGTGTGTGTGAGTGTGTTGTGTGTGTGTGTGTGTGTGTGTGTGTGTGTGTGTGTGTGTGTGTGTGTGTGTGTGTGTGTGTGTGTGTGTGTGTGTGTGTGTGTGTGTGTATGAATGTTTGTGTGCGTGTTTGTGTTTGAGTGTGTGTTTCTACATTTGTGTTGTGCGTGTTTGTTGTCCGTGTTCGTGTTTTGTATTTGTGTGTAGTGTGTGTTTGTGTCCTTGTCTGTGTCTCTATCTCTAAGTGCTTGTATGTGCATGCTTCCCTTTTCCTTGTTTGCCTGTGCGCACATGTACACCACACATAAATCATAAGGCACATCAGTATGGACACACGTAAATGCAATATATCTCTTTACAATATATTTATTTAGACGTAACAGTCAATCGAAAGAATCGCACAATATAACTTATAACGCAGGTGAACATTATCCCAGACCATAACACCCACAGATGTTCAGTATAACAACCACAGCACAATCCTGAGTCAAGGGTTATTTCGAAATACGAAAAAGATTATTAAGGATTGGCTAATGATATGCAAAGAGGAAATGCAGGCTGAGGGATTAAAAAGAGAAAGAAAAGGGGATGGGGAAGAGAGTGAGAGAGGCAGAGATAAAGGGAAAGATAAAGACGCAATGAGAGAGAGTTAAAGAGAGATAAAGAGATAAAATGAAAAATAAGATGAGAGAGAGAGAGCGACTAAAGAGAAAGGAAAAAATAGAAAGAACGAGAAATGACAAGGAGAATAAGAGAAAAATGAAAGAAACTTTAAGCAAAGGTAACAATTATACTACACACTGTAATTACAACTGCTTCTGCATGACAAGTAACTCTTACAAAGGAACCAAAGTGACGCAGTGAACCAAGGAGGGGGGTAGGGGGGAGGGGAGGGGGGAGGGGGAATAGAGGAAAGGAGGGGAGAGGGGTGAAGGATGAGAGGGGGTAGAGCAGAGGGGGGAGGGCACAATGGATTAGAGTGTGAGGGATGAAGGGGGAGGAAGAGGGGGAAGGAGAAGGAGGAGAGAAAGAAAGGAGGGAATAAGGAAGGCAGAGAGGGAGGGGAAGGAGGAGAGAAAGAAAGGGAGAGGTAGATAGGAGAGGAGAGTAGAATTTCAAGAAAGGGGAAGGGGATAGAAGCGATGAAATGGAAACAGAAATGAGAAGGGGAAGGATAAGAGTAAAAGCAAATATGGGAGAAAGGAGAAAGGGAGAATGGAGAAAGGAGAGATGAGTAGAGGGAAAGATATGCGTGTCTTAAGTGGTATTTTCGTAAAGTTTAAGTGTTATACGGTAGGTCTTTAGAGAGAGTAATCAGCGAAATTTCTTCTGCAGAGCGAATATTAGAGAGAAGAATGGAGAGAGAGACTGAGAGAGGAGAGAGAGGATGAGAGAGAGAGCTGTACTGCGAGGAACGTACTCTAGTCACTATCTCTGATACATTGACACGAGAGAGAGCCCTTCGAGATCCCGGCACCATATGCACTCCTCAGCAGGAGAGAGAGAGACGGGTAGTATGAAGAGAGCGATCAGAGAAAACGACGAGAGAAAGAGAGAGTAAAGACATCCGGAGAAAGCGGAAAGAGAAAGAGAGATACGTAGAGAGAGAGANGGGAGAGGAGGAGAAAGGGAGAGAGAAGAGAGAAGAGAGGATGAGAGAGAGGAAGAGAGAGGAGGATCGACGAGGGAATGAGAGAGAAGATGAGAGAGAGAGAAGAGAGAGAGGATAGAGAGAGAGAGAGAGAGAGAGAGAGAGAGAGAGAGAGAGAGAGGAGAGAGAGAGAGAGAGAGTGAGAGAGAGAGAGAGAGAGAGAGGTTGAGTGTGTGTGAGAGAGTGAGAGCGTCTTGCAAGTACCTACCAATAATTACAATAAAAATTATTCACAGACACAGGAAAAAAAACAAGGGCAGGAGGGGGGGTGGCAGGCAGGTGTTGGTAATAACTAGGCGATGTGATCAATATTTCATGGTGTGTGTGTGTGTGTGTGTGTGTGTGTGTGTGTGTGTGTGTGTGGTGTTGTGTGTGTGTGTGGTGGTGTGGTGTGTGTTGTGTGTACACGCACGGTTTGCATGTGACTGCATATACGTGTACGTGTGATATATGTGCCCTTGTGCGTGCATGTACACACTCATTTTCTTGCGAAGATAAACGGAAAGCTCTCATGCCCCCCCCCCCACCTTGACCCTAACCACTACCCCTCCACCTCCCCCCTCCCAACCCTTCCCCCTTGACTCGCCCTCGCTGCGCCATCTAACACTTCCTTAGGAGACCGGTAATTAACTCATGGCCGGGCCAAACACGCACGCACACGCACGCAAGCACGCGTGGATGCACAGACATGTGTACATGCATAAACATATTTTTACATACACACATAATACATACACGCACAATGATTCTATGTTGCCTGTATGCTGTATAAATATATATATATATATTATTATATATATCTGCTCTGTTCCCTCCTCTCTTTCCCACTGCATCTGCATCTTCTATCTCTCAAAGTCGAATTACAATATTACTATTACAAATAAAAAAATACTCGCTAGTAATACTACTACTAAAATCACCATCATCATCACATCATCACCATCATCACCCAACATACCACCACCACAAAATTTGAAAATTACCAGAAAAAAAAACGTATGAATACATAAAATAAACAAACGAATAACGAACATACAAACAAACAAACCACCAAACAATCAAATCAATAAAACAGAAAAAACAACAACAGATAAAGCGCCAGGCATGAAATCCAGCTCCCCAGCAGAAGGCAATCTCCCGGCCGAAGAAGAAGGGTTGTTGGGCCTCGCTTGCAACGACGGGGCCTAATTGGCTGCAGATGCAATGTTGCCCCGTCCCTCCGGATCCCCGCCTGACCTCGCCGACGACGACGTACCTGCCCTGCCCCTCCTGCAACAACACCAACAACAACAACAACAACAGGAGCGTAAACAACACCAACCGCAACACCGCCGCCGTCGCCACCGCCAACAACACTGCAACAACAACTCTGCCACTCAGCCCTTAACTAGCTGGAGTGTTTTTTTTATGGGTGTAATTAGGGGCGCGAGAAGCTTATTCCGCAGCACGGGAAAGGAGAAAAGAAAAGAAAGAAAGCGTGAGGTAAACTTTCTCTCCTTCTCTGTCTCTCGCTCTCTCTTGTCCCCTCTCGCTCCATCTTGCTCCATTTTTCTCTTCCTATCCCTCTCCCTCCCTGCCTCCTCTTCTCTCCCTCTCTACCTCCCTTTTCTCTTTCTCTTCCTCTTCCTCTTCCCTCTCCATCTCCCTCCCCTCTCTCCCCTCTCCCCCTCTCCCCCTCTCTCCTCTCCATCTCATCTCCATCTCCCTCTCTTTCTCCCCCTCTCCCTCCCTCTCTCTTTATCCGGCACCTCATGTTTTCCTCCGTCGACTGTTATAGCCGGTCGTATCTACTGATCAACTTGAAAGTACTTGCGGTATCTTCCACGCCATTCTAACGCAATGTATTATTTTTTACCGAGATGTTGAGAGAGAAGGTACGGGGGGGGGGGGGACGACGAAGGAAAGGAAGGACAGAGGGAATTAGAGAAGTAGGGAGGGATGGAGAGGAAGGGAGGAAGAGAAAGAGAAGATGGGGAAGAGAGATGGAGAGAGAGAGAGAGAGAGAGAGAGAGAGAGAGAAGAGAGAGAGAGAGAGAGAGAGAGGGAGAGAGAGAGAGAGGAGAGAGACGAGAGAGAGAGAGAGAGAGAGAGAGAGAGAAGAGAGAAGAGAGAGAGAGAGAGAGAGAGAGAGAGAGAGAGGGAGGGAGAGGAGAGGGAGAGGGAGAGAGAGAGAGAGAGAGGAGAGAGAGAGAGAGAGAGAGAGAGAGAGAGAGAGAGAAGAGAGGGTTAACACAAACACACAAACAAACACACATACACCACACATGGACACACGCACACACACACACACACACACACACACACACACACACACAACACACACACACACACACACCACACCACACACACACACACACCTCTATATGCACAGCAACACGAGATGCGAACTCCGTTTCCACCAGCCAACACCCGAAAACCCACCAGATAGCCCCCTCCCTCTCTTCCCCTCTACTCCTCTCCTTTCTCCTCTTCCCCTCTTCTCTCCTATCATGTTTTCTTTCCCCCTCTTCTCCTTTCCTATCATCTCTTCCTCTTCTCCTTTCCTATCACCTCTTTCTCTTCTCTTACCCTCTTCTTTCCTATCTATATTTCTCTTCTCCTTTCCTATCCTCCCGTTCTCTTCTCTTTCCCTCTTCTCCTTTCCTATCTATCTTTCTCTTATCCTTTCTTATCACCTCTTTCTCTTCTCTTCCCCTCTTCCCCTTCCCCATCATCCCTTTCTCTTCCCTCTTTCTATCACCCCTTTCTCTTCCCTCCTTCGCCTGACTTCCCTGGCGGTTCGAATAAAATCAGGCCGACGAGACAGGCGTAGAGCGTCGAGCCCGAGCGTGGGAGTCGAGCCAGCACAGCCGAGTCCCACGTGGCCATGCAGCTACACCTCGCTTCCACACGAACGCTGCTACAACACAACTGCGCTTCCACACTGCTACACCTCGCTTCCACACGGCTGGTACACAAAGCTGCTACACCTCGCTTCCACACGGTAAGCTGCTACACCTCGTTCCAACACGGTAACAGCTGCTACACCTCGCTGCAGCTACACCTCGCTTCCACGGTAACAGCTGCTACAACCTCGCTTCCACACGGTAACAGTGCTTCAACCTCGCTTCCACACGGTAACAGCTGCTACAAGCTGCTGCTACACCTCGCTTCCACACGGTAACAGCTGCTACACCTCGCTTCCACACGGTGACAGTTGCTACACCTCGCTTCCACACGGTAACAGCTGCTACACCTCGCTTCACCGGTAACAGCTGCTACACCTCGCTTCCACACGGTAACAGCTGCTACACCTCGCTTCCACACGGTAACAGCTGCTACAGCTGCTTACACCTCGCTTTTCCACACGGTAACAGCTGCTACACCTCGCTTCCACACGGTAACAGCTGCTACACACCTCGCTTCCACACAACAGCTGCTAACACTGCTACACCTCGCTTCCACACGGTAACAGCTGCTACACCTCGCTTCCACACGGTAACAGTGCTACACTCGCTTCCACACGTAGCTGCTCCACACGGTAACAGCTGCTACACCTCGCTTCCACACACGGTAACAGCTGCTACACCTCGCTTCCACACGGTAAACAGCTGCTACACCTCGCTTCCACAGGTAAACAGCTGCTACACTCGCTTCCACACGGTAACAGCTGCTACACCTCGCTTCCAGGTAACAGCTGCTACACCTCGCTTCCACACGGTAACAGCTGCTACACCTCGCTTCCACACGGTAAACAGCTGCCTACACCTCGCTTCCACACGGTAACAGCTGGCTACACCTCGCTTCCACACACGTAACAGCTTGCTACACCTGCTACACCAGCTGCCACACCTCGTACACGGTAACAGCTGCTACACCTCGCTTCCACACGGTAACAGCTGCTACACCTCGCTTCCACACGGTAACAGCTGCTACACCTCGCTTCCACACGGTAAACAGCTGCTACACCTCGCTTCCACACGGTAACAGCTGCTACACCTCGCTTCCACACGGTAACAGCTGCTACACCTCACACGCAGCTGCTACACCTCGCTTCCACACGGTAACAGCTGCTACACCTCGCTTCCACACGGTAACAGCTTTTCGCTTCCACACCAGCTCTCCCTCGCTTCCACACGGTAACAGCTGCTACAACCTCGCTTCCAGCTTGCTACACTCGTTCCACACGGTAACAGCTGCTACACCCTCGCTTCCACACGGTAACAGCTGCTAAACAAACCTGGCTTCCACACGGTAACAGCTGCTACACCTCGCTTCCACACGGTAACAGCTGCTACATACCTCGCTTCCAACACGTAACAGGCTGCTTCAACCTCGCTTCCACACGGTAACAGCGTGCTACACCTCGCTTCCACACGGTAACAGCTGTAACAGGCTCAGCTTCCACACGGTAAATCAGCTGCTACAAACCTGCGCTTCCACACGGTTGCAACGGTAACACAGCATGCTACACCCTCGCTTCACACGGTAAACAGCTGCTACAACCTCGCTTCCACACGCAGCTGCTACACCTCGCTTCCCACAGCTGGTAAACAGCTGCTACACCTCGCTTCCACACGGTAACAGCTGCTACAACCTCGCTTCACACGGTAACAGCTGCTACACTCGCTTCCACACGGTAACAGCTTGCTTACACCTCGCTTCCACACGGTAACAGCTGCTACACCTCGCTTCCACACGGTAACAGCTGCTACACCTCGCTTCCACACGGTAAACAGCTGCTACACTCGCTCCACACTAACAGCTGCTAACACACGGTACAGCTGCTACAACTGCTCGCTTCCACACGGTAAACAGCTGCTACACCTCGCTTCCACACGGTAACAGCTGCTACACCTCGCTTCCCACACACGGTAACAGCTGCTACAACTCGCTTCCACCGGTAACAGCTGCTACACCGCTTCCACACGGTAACAGCTGCTACACCTCGCTTCCACACGGTAACAGCTGCTACACCTCGCTTCCACAGGTAACAGCTGCTACACCTCGCTTCCACACGGTAACAGCTGCTACACACCTCGCTTCCACACGGTACAGCTGCTACACCTCGCTTTCCCACACGGTAACAGCTGCTACACCGTCGCTTCCACACGGTAACAGCTGCCTACACCTCGCTTCCACACGGTAAAGCTGGGCTACAACCTCGCTTCCACAACGGTAACAGCTGCTACACCTCGCCTTCCACGGTAACAGCTGCTACACCTCGCTTCCACAACAGTGCTACACCTCGCTTCCACACGGTAACAGCTGCTACACCTCGCTTCCACACGGTAACAGCTGCTACACCTCGCTTCCACACGGTAACAGCTGCTACACCTCGCTTCCACACGGTAACAGCTGCTACACCTCGCTTCCACACGGTAACAGCTGCTACACCTCGCTCCACGGTAACAGCGCTACAGCTGCTTCACCTCGGCTTCGCACACGGTAACAGCTGCTACAAGCCTCGCTTCCACACGGTAACAGCTGCTACACCTCGCTTCCACACGGTAACAGCTGCTACACCTCGCTTCCACACGGTAACAGCTGCTACACCTCGCTTCCACACGGTAACAGCTGCTACACCTCGCTTTCCACAACGGTAACAGCTGCACACCTCGCTTCCACACGGTGACAGTTGCTACACCTCGCTTCGCACACGGTAACAGCTGCTACACCTCGTTTCCCACCACGGTAACAGCTACACCTCGCTTCCAACAACAGCTGCTACACCTCGCTTCCACACGGTAACAACATCGCGATGACAGAATAACAGCTGCTAGCCGGTAACAGCTGCTACACCTCGCTTCCACACGGAGATAGTATACAAATACAATATGCGTGGAGATAGATACACATACACATACACGGATGCATGTTTATCACACATTCACGTATGTCGTTTTCCTCCCTGTTCTTTTTTTTACTTAAAAATAGAATAAAATGCTTCGATAGTTTCCTAGCATGTCAATTACGATACCTAACAGCAAAAATGCAATAAAATAATCAAATTCTAAACAAAACAAAAAAATAAATAACAATGAATAAAAGAAAATGAAGAGAAAAAAAACACCCTATCATTCCCTCTCCCACCCTCACAAGAAAAAAAGATAAAGGCAGAAAAAAATGAAACAAATAAATGAACAAACAGAAAAAATAAAACATCACATACAACCAAAACAGACAAATCAAGTAAACAAACAATCTAAAAAAAGAAGAAGAAGAAGAAGAAGAAGAAAGAAGAAGAAGAAGAAGAAGAAGAAAAAGAAGAAAGAAGAAGAAGAAGAGAAGAAGAAGAAGAAGAGAAGAAAACGAGTCTGCATGACCCCTTCAGCATGGCAGCCGACGGGAGCTCGCAAGGGGACCGTCGACTCCCAAACTGCAGCCATCAACTCCAGGCAGAGGACAACTCCCGGCTCTGTCTCCCCCTTTTCTTGGGAGACGCCGATTGGGGGCGTAGGGGGCTTGGCGGGGGGGGGGGGTGATGTTTGTGGTAGCGGGGAGCTTGGGGGGGGGGGTGAATCTTTGGTTGGCATACAGTCTCTGAAATCATAAGTCTTTTCTTCTCTCCCTCGTCCAAGCCCACTCTTTCTCTACTTCCTTGACCAAATTCCCTCTCTCGCTCTCTATCCCATTTCCACTCCCTCGCCTACGCGCCCTCTCCTCCCCCACTCCCTCGCCCACGCCCTTCCTTCTCCCTCTCAATTCCCACTCCTCCCTCTCCTACTCTCTTGATCAACGCTCTCTCCCTTCCCACTCCCCCTCCCTCTCCTCTCCCACTCCCTCGCACCCATTCCATTCCCATTCCCACTCCCACTCAGTTTGTTCTACCGTTCGTCCTGCTGATTCTTGCTTCGATTTTCGCGAGACTTGACTTGCTTCCCTTTGCTCCCTTTTTCTTCTTTTTTCTCTCTCTCTTAGTCGCTCTTGCCTTATTGGTTGCTTTCGTTTCTTTATTATTCTGTTTTATAGATAGATAGATTAGATGAAGAGACAGAGAGAGAAGAGAGAGAGAGAGAGAAGGGAGAGAGGAGAGAGGAAGGAGAGAGAGAGAGGAAGGGAGAAGAGAGAGAGGAAGGGACGAGAGAGAGAAGGGAGAGAGGAGAGAGGAGAGAGAGAGAGAGAGAGAGGAGAGAGAGGAGAGAGAGAGAGAGAGAGAGAGAGAGAGAGAGAGAGAGAGAGAGAGAGAGAGAGAAGAGAGAGAGAGAGAGAGAGAGAGAGAGAGAGAGAGAAGAGAGAGAGAGAGAGAGAGAGAGAGAGAGAGAATAAAGTTACACACCACTTCAAGGTTTCAGAAAAATAATACTCAAGAGCTTTGGAGTTTCTCCCAGTGCAGATAGCCTTGAAGGGGGTTGGGGGTGGCTGAAGGGGGGGGGGGGGGAGAAATGAAGAGGTTGGGTGAGGATGAAGAAGAAGGATGCAGAGAGAAGTAGAGATACGAAAAAGAGAGAAAGAGGGAGAAGGAGAAGGGGAAGGATAGAGAGACGAAGAGTTAAAGCAGAGGGCGAGGAGGAGACCAGGAACCGGAACGGGAAGAGGACGTGAGGGGAGGGGGAGGGGGGGGGAGGGGATAGGGATAGGGAGATGGTTAGAAGGGGGGGGGCCAAGAATTATTAAGTTCCAGCGTTTCAAAGCAGTGTGAGAGTGGGAAAACCTATTTTCCCTGCAATAAAAATGATAAAATAAAACAATAAAACACAACACACACACACACACACACACACACACACACACACACACACACACACACACACACACACACACACACACACACTATATATATATATATATATATATATATATATATATATATATATATATATATATATATATATATTATAATATATATATAATATATATAATATATATATATAATTATATATATATATATATATATATATATATATATATATATATATATATAACACAAACACACACACACACACACACAACCGAATAAACAAATAACTAAATGCACGCTACAGTATTTCCTCGCGCTATAATAAAAAAAGGTGTCAAGACATTTAAGAAATTTTCACAATGTGAAGCTTAGCACTAATGCAATATTTTTTCCACCTCCAAAGCCCTTGTTTGCCTTCTTAATTAAAAGAGCGATAAGATTTTTTTTCTCTCGCAAAACCGGCATGTGAAATACACGACGGTGACAGTCTACAAAGAAAACAAGGAAAACAAGCAAGGAAGGCAGCAAACAAGCGAACAAGAGAGAACGTAAACAAGCAAGCAATTTCGCGACAAAAGCTAGACCTCCCCCCCCTCCACCCCTCGCCATCCCCCATCTACCGGCAAAAAAGAGAGTTAACCAAGCACACACATCCGGGAAATATTCAACGCCTAGTGACAACATCTCTACACGCGCACACTTCGGATACCCCTTATTCCTTCCCTCTTTCTTTCTTCTTCCCCCCTCCTTTCTCTTCACCTCTGTATCATGTCATTCTTCTCTTCCCTTTATTTCCTTCCATTCTCCCACCTTCCCTCCTTACTATTCTCCCTCCCCCCCCTCTTTCTCTCTAACTCACTCACTCACACTCACTCACTTCCCTATCTTCCTTCCTCTCTCCCTCCCTCCCTTCCCTTCCCTTCGTTCCTTCCTTCCTCCCTCCCTCCCTCCCTACCTCCGCCCCTTCCCTTCCTCTTACCTTTTTCCTTCTTCTTTCCTTCCTCCTCCCTCCCTTCCTCCCTCCCTCCTCCCTCCCTCCCTCCCTCCCTCCCTCCCTCCCTCCCTCCCTCCCTCCCTCCCTCCCTCCCTCCCTCCCTCCCTCCCTCCCTCCCTCACCTCCCACCCACCCACCCACCCACCCACCCTCCTTACTTCCCTCCCTCCCTTCACCTTCTTTTCACCTCCATTCTTTCCTCCTTATCCATCATCCCTTTTCATCGCCCTCCTCCTGCCCCCATACCTCGGTTCTCTTGCTATTCATGTCCAAAACCTGCCTGTGCGTGTTTACTACGTGGCAAATGTAGTAGAAGCAGTTGTTAATTTGCACTTCGGGTCGACCCTACGCTCTGATATCACGGTATGTAGAAAGAAGGGGAATTGGAGGAGGAGACGGAGGAGGAGGAGGAGGTGGTGATGGAGACGAAGGAAGAGGAGGAGGAGGAGGAGGAAGAGGAGACGAAGGAAGAGGAGAAGGAGGAGGCGAAAGAAGAGGAGGAGAAGAAGAAGAAGAAGAGGAGGAAGAGCGCCCCGGGAGCCCATAGGCCAACCTCACCCCAAGTGCAGCCCAACCCTTCCCCGCACGCACCCGCCAAAAAGCACAATCAATCCCAAATATTCGCCACAAACTCGCCAGCCCCAAGTAGAGCCGTTTATAATTATTCGCCGCACGCACCCGCCGCATTTATCACGACGAACAGGTATTCGCCATTCGCCGCCGCGGACGCGAATCCCAGCAAACAAGTGGAGCGTAAAATCTTCACAATAACGGCTGCACCATTAATCCACTGGATATTCTCTCTCTCTCTCTCTCTCTTCTCTCTCTCTCTCTCTCTCTCTCTCTCTCTCTCTCTTCTCTCTCTCTCTCTCTCTCTCTCTCTCTCTCTCTCACACACACACACACACAACACACACACACACACACACACACACACCACACACACACACACACACACACACACACACACACACACACACACACACACACAGACACACACACACAACACACACACACACACAGAAAGAGAGAGAGAGAGAGTGTGTGTGTGGGAAGGGGGGGGGGAGAAATAAATGAATAAAGGGAAGCATGGAGGAAGGGAAATAGGGAGCGAGCAAGCAATAAATAGAGACAAGGAAAGGAAAAAGAGTTGTGGGAGAGAGGGACATAGGGGAAGGAGAGGGGAACGAGAGAGAGAGAGAGAGAGAGAGAGAGAGAGAGAGAGAGAGAGAGAGAGAGAGAGAGAGAGAGAGAGAGAGAAGAGGAGAGAGAGAGAGAGAGAGAAGAGAGAGAGAGAGAGAAAGAGAAAGAGAAAGAGAAGAGAAAGAGAAGAAAGAGAGAGGAGACCGGAAGAGGAGCGGGAGCGCGAGCAGAAGGAAGAGAAGCCGAATCCTACGCGAGGGGCACGAGGGGACACCACCAAGTGCCCGAGATTAAAGCAGATCGCCGTGACACACAAAGGGGGTTCGGGGTCAGGGGGAGGGGGGGGGGGGAGGAGGGGAGAGAGGGGCGAGAGGGGGTGGGGGTCCGCTGCCACCGCCGCTGCCGCCGCCACGGCCGAAGCCCACGGAACGAAAGGGAAGCCACCGGTTTTGCAGAAGACAAGTTTAGCAAAGTAAGAGGGAGGGAAGAGAGAGAGAGAGGGAGGATGAGGGGGAGGGATAAGGAGGAGGATAAGAGATAAGTAAGGGAGAGGAAGAGAAGGACGAGAAAGATATGAAACTGGTCCCAAGACCATAGAAGGGAGCGAATGAGATAAAGAAAAACTATATATAAGTAAAAAATCAAGTGAAATAAAATAAAATGTGCGTAAGTCCAATGACAGCATTTCCCTACCTCGTGTGTCTCCCTATTCACGCTTCACCTCAAACCTCGACTCACCTGTGAAGGAGAAAAACAAAATTGTTTTACAAAGAGGCTTTAATTCTACACACAACAGATAGATAGATAGATAGATAGGCAGACAGATAGATAGAGAGAGAGAACAAGAAATGACAAAAGAGAGAGAGAGAGAGAGAGAGAGAGAGAGAGAGAGAGAGAGAGAGAGAGAGAGAGAGAGAGAGAGAGAGAGA